GAGCTCTGCCTCCTATCAGATCAGCAGTGGCATTAGATTCTCATAGGAGTGTGAACACTATTGTGAGTTGCACATGCAAGGGTTCTACATTGCATGTTCCTTGTGAGACTCTAACCAGTGCCTGACGATCTGAGGTGGAACAGTTTCATCTCCAAACCATGCCTGTACAACCCTCTCCCACTGGCCGTGGAAAAACTGTCTTCCACGAAACCAGTCCCTGGGGCCAAAAAGGCTGGAGACTGCTGTTCTAAATCATTAATCTTATCCCCTGCTGTGTCCAGGCTGCAAGTAAACCCATCCACTGGACTTTAATGATGATTTCTTCAATTCTATGATTTCCTTTTACTTTTTCTATAGGTTCCAGGTGTCTGGTGAAATTCTCATTTTCCTTTATTTTTATTAATCATAATTATTTTAATGTTTTGTTTTGAGACCGAGTCTCACTCTGCCACCCAGGCGGGAGTGTAGTAGCACTCACTGTCTCCACTCACTGCAACCCCTGCCTCCTGAGTACAAGCAATTCTCCCTGCCTCAGCCTCCTGAGTAGCTGGGATTACAGGAACTGGCCGCCACACCTGGCTAATTTTTGTATATTTATTAGAAATGGGGTTTTGCCATGTTGGTCAGGCTGATCGCAAACTCCTGACCTCAAGTGATTCGCCAACCTCAGCCTCCCAAGTGCTAGAATTACAGGTGTGAGCCACCATGTCCAGACTATTTTAATGTTCTTGTCTAATAATTCCAATATCTGAATTGCCTGGGATCTGTTTCTATTCTCATTTCTCTTGGTTTCCATCTTTTCATCCTGTTTCCTGGCATGTCTGTTATTTTTTGTTAAATGGAAAAGCCTGTATTGAAAACTGGAGAGAGACTCTTGATGTCTTACCCCAAAGAGGATATAGCAGGAGACAGAGTACAGATAAATCTCCTTAATCAGTCAGGCTTACCCTTACTCCTAAAGCACAGACTTTCTGAATTCTAAACTGGAAGCCTAGAGGCACTAGGGCCCTTCCTCCTTGGCACAATTTCCTGTTTTGAAATCCAATTTTGTTTCCCTAGAAATGCAACCTTTTCCTTAAAATACCTCCTTAGCCTCTGAACTTCTTAGCTGCGTTTTCTGCTTATGTTCTTCTTTCTCCTTATTCATGTGCAACTTAGTAGTAAATCCCTTGAGAGACAACTGCAAAAAGAAAATGGAACCACCATTATTTCCCTTTTCTCCAGATTCTTGGCCTCTCAAATCCTGGCTGCCCTGATTGCTCTCCAGTGATGTGAGACAGATGTCTATTTCTCCTTGTAATCCTGTCAGTTGTTAATATATTTTGAGACTATATTGCTAGGTGCATATATATTTACAAGTTATACCTTTTTGTTGTCCTCAATATACAATATCCTTTTGCCCCTTTTGATAGATTTTTAACTTGAATTATTTTAGCAGATATTAAAAATGCCACACAGCTTTTTTTTTTTTTTTTTTTGGTCTTTGTTTTCTGGTGCCCTTTTGCCTAGTGTATATGCTATCTCCCTTTAGTTTTCAAACTTTTCTCTTTGTGTTGAAAGTTTTGTACATAGTATATTGTTAGCTTAAAAAAAAGTCCAAGCTGGGTGCAGTGGCTCATGCCTGTAATCTCAGCACTTTGAGAGGCCAAGGCAAGTGGATCACTTGAGGTCAGGTGTTCAAGACCAGCCTGAACCAGGTGAAACCCCATCTCTACTTAAAATACAAAATTAGCCAGGCACAGTGGTACACACCTGTAATCCCAACTACCTGGGGAGGCTAAGGCAGAATTGCTTCAACCCAGGAGGTGGAGGTTGTTGTGAGCCAGATTGTGCCATTGTACTCCAGCCTGGGCAGTAAGAGTGAAACTGTTTAAAAAATAAAAATCTGAGATTCTTTAATTGGCAAGCTTAACACATTTACTGTAATTACTGTTAGATTAGGCATTTTTGCCACCTAATCTACTTTTAAACCCTCCCTTCCTGTGTTCTTTGGATAGATCAATTCCCCCCCCCCCCCCCCCCCCCCCGTGGACTTAAGTATACACCCTGAAGACCATATTGTTAGGCATTCCTACTGAATTGCATTTTTTTTTTTTTTTTTTTTTTTGAGACGGAGTTTTGCCCTTGTTACCCAGGCTGGAGTGCAATGGCACGATCTCGGCTCACCGCAACCTCCGCCTCCTGGGTTCAGGCAATTCTCCTGCCTCAGCCTCCTGAGTAGCTGGGATTACAGGCACGCACCACCATGCCCAGCTGATTTTTAGTATTTTTAGTAGAGACGGGGTTTCACCATGTTGACCAGGATGGTCTCAATCTCTTGACCTCGTGATCCACCCGCCTCGGCCTCCCAAAGTGCTGGGATTACAGGCTTGAGCCACCGCGCCCAGCCTCCTACTGAATTGTTAAACAGATAATTTATATTTCCTTTATAAGACAAATAGTACATTTATATCCTTCTTAGCTCATCTCCTACCCACACTCCACCATCTCTTTTATAGTCTCTAGAATTTCAATTCCAGGCTTTGAAACTTTACTTTTTCCTAGTCCTTTTAAGACAACGTTACTAGGATATTGGACATTACTTGCTAACCTTGAATCCACCTCAATGTTCCTCCTCCATTTTGAATTTTCTCCTGTTTTTTTTTTTGGCGGGGGACAGTGGCAGGGGGTGGGGGGGTGCGGGGGAGATGGAGGGAGATGGAGTCTCACTCTGTTACCCAGGCTGGAGTAGAGTGGCATGATCTCGGCTCATTGTAACCTCCACCTCCTGGGTTCAAGGGATCCTTTTGCCTCAGCTTCCCAAGTGGCTGGGACTACACGTGTGCACCACCATGCCCAGTTAATTTTTGTTATTTTTTTAGTAGAGGCAGAGTTTCACTGTATGTTGGCCAGGCTGGTCTCAAACTCCTGACCTCAAGTGATCTGCCTGCCTCAACTTCCCAAAGTACTGGGATTACAGGTGTGAGCCCCACGTGTTTGTTTGTTTGTTTGTTTGTTTGTTTGTTTTGAGACGGAGTTTCACTCTTGTTACCCAGGCTGGAGTGCAATGGCGTGATCTCAGCTCACTGCAACCTCCGCCTCCTGGGTTCAGGCAATTCTCCTGCCTCAGCCTCCTGAGTAGCTGGGATTACAAGCACGCGCCACCATGCCCAAATAATGTTTTGTATTTTTAGTAGAGACGGGGTTTCACCGTGTTGACCAGGATGGTCTCGATCTCTTGACCCTGTGATCCACCCGCCTCGGCCTCCCAAAGTGCTGGGATTACAGGCTTGAGCCACTGCACCCGGCTACCCCAAGAGTTTTTAAAGGAGCGTTTTGTGTAAATCATAAGGCCTTGTAAACCTAAGCATATGCCCTCACAACTAGGCAGTTTGCCTAGGTATCAAATTTTAGGTTGACGATAGTTTATCTTCTTGTTGTTGTGGATCTGACTGCAAGTGACACTTTTTTCTTTACTGGTGGCCTGCACTTTTCCTCTGGAAGTTTTGAGTTTATCTTAGTTTGTTTTCTTAAATCCCACTAATAGCATATCCAGGCTTGGAAGTTTTGTCTTTTCTGACATTATTCTTTCAAATTTTCTTCAAATGTTCTTTCTTTTCCCCTTTTGGGACTTCTGTTATTTGGATGTTATTTGCATCCTCTATAGTCAGTTTCTAATTTTATCTTTTTATACAGGACTGCTTTCTGAAAGCGTATCTCAAGTGGATCTTTCAGTTCATTCGTTTCCCAACACCATCACTTCTGCGGTATCTCATTCTTGTCTTCTGTTTCAACTATTTTCATACTCAACTTTTCTTTAGTCTTTGGCTTCATATTGCTATCTTCATTCTTATTGTAATTTCTTACATTAAATTCTTAGCCCATGTTTTCCAATAATTTAGCTTCAGTTCAGTCTGTGGCCTTCACACACACACACACACACATTCTCTCAATCCTAAATCCTAGGATTTAGAAGCAAGGAACCTCTAGGAATGGCAGACTGAAAAACTCAGATCTAATACCCCAACTAAGTACTACTAGAGAAACTGGACCCATCATGAAATACTGAAGTACCATGTGGGCCATGACAGGATTCTTGCTCTATATGGCATCCCTAGTATAATCTTCTCAAAGGTGCTCCAGAGTCTGAGTTTTGTCCCCATCCAATGACCCTAGACCTGTCTTTGCCTTGTATCCCTGTTGCCTGGACAGTCTGTTCTTTGATGTGTGGTGCATTGCAGACTTTGTCCTCCTCCTCATTATTTTGCATTCTTGTGCAGACATTCCTCAGAGATTCAAAAGTCAAGCCACTGTAGTTGAGCTAAGGCCACCACCTTGCGCTAAAAAATGTTATAAAGGTAAGATGGTACTTTGCTGAAGGTTACTATGAACTGTGCATATGAAACACTGCACAGTGCCCATCAATTTAGTGGCAACTTTTCCCAGTTCTCCCTTGCTTTGGGTCCTAGGCACCGTGCCCCCAGCCTTCGGTGTTGCCTTTTATCTCCTTCCACATTTCCATTTTCTTTAACAAAGGAAGCCAACGACCATCTCATTTCTGTCTGACCAGGGAAGAGTTCTCATTTCCAAACTGGGCCTGCTGAAGAGAATGAGGGTCATACTCCTCAGGCACACTTGACAGTCGGCCCATCAAGGATGGCGGTCCTTGCTGCTTTAGATTGTAATATCCCCTGTCCACACGATGAAAGCCTTTCCTACTTCTGACCATGTGAGCCATAAATTGTCTTTATCAGCAGCTGGTTGGGAGATGAGTGGCCAGATGATGTGTGTTCCAGTTACAGTGCCCTCGGGTCAGTCTGTTGGTCATCTGAATTCTTTTGGGTAGTGGAGGTTGGACTGGTTGGCCCCTTGGCCTGGTTCTGTAATGTAATAGCAGTATTGAAGAATCAATCAATACCTGCACCTCGGCTACGTCCCAGAGATCATCTCAGTGCATATGAGCTGGTGGTTGGGGGTGAGGATGATCTAGTGTGGGTAGTGACTGGTATCTCTTTCTTCAGAAAAATATCACAGAAGCCTACCAGGTCAGCAAGAAGCCTCCAAAGTCCATGGCAAAGGTGATTAAGATTGCAGCCCCTGCAGACAAGACCATCTACAACTATAGTATTCAGACCCTGAATTCTACAGATCTTGCCAAAAAGGAGCTGTATAAAGAGATGGCCAAGGTGAGTGAGAGACCTAGACAGATGATGGCAGTTGGCAAATCCAGTGAATTCTTTCCTCTGACCATGACTGCCTGGAGGTCAGCGTGGGATCTCAGGTCTACAGATGAAAGCCAATCAGCAGGGGAAGCAGACAAGGCTCAGATATTGAGAGGTGTTCTATTCCACACTAAATGTGAATCCTCCACACCTGAGGGTAAGCCCAAGATCCTCAGTGTAAGCTCAGATGTACATGAAGAACAACTGTACTGTCCTTCCTTCTGGGGAACACTTTATGATTGCTGCTTATGAAGGCAGCTGCCACACAGAAGGGAAAGCCATGGCTTAGGCTTCTAGCACACATTAACTTTAGGAAACTGCTTCTCCCATCAAAGGGAACAATGAAATGACCTTACAGGGATGCTGCACAGTTCAGATTCTCTCAATGCACTATTTATGTTGTCAGGACCTATGATTATGCCCCCAGCTGTTTCTCATTCCTACTTGGAAATTCAGGATTGCTATCAGCCCATCTACCCAGGTCTGTCTGCCCCCATTTCTAGGAGCCAAGAAAGAGATTCACGTACTCACAGAATTACCTCTCAGCCATGGTGGAGCCCCTGGACTTGAAGGAAGAGGAAAAGCAAGCCCAGAAGAAATCCCGCCAGGCCTGGCTGACAGCCAGGGGATTCCAAGTGACAGGTCTTCAAGGCGACACTGAAAGCAGCTTTCAGCATCTCAAACTGCCGCACATCAAAGAGCTGAATGAGGTCAAAAGGGAGGAGCAGGGCTTCAGGCGGGGTGTCCATAGGGACCTTTCTCCTCCTGATTTACTTAATTCTCCAATTTAGGAGTGGAAGGAAAACTCCATGTTTGCTAACGTACTGGAGCCTGTGTTGGATCGAGACAGGTGGAGCTGGGACAGGCGCCACGTGGACTTTGATCTGTACAAGAAGCCACCACCTTTCCTCGAGCTGCCCCCTTCGCCTGCACCGAAGTCTGTTAACAGGTAACAGGCAAAGCTTTGCCAGGCTGGGCCTCCCGATGCTGTGGGCAGGCAGGAGCTGTGCCATTCTGCAACTTCAGCGGTATCTACTTTGTTCACACTATCAACCAAACTTTCTATGCTAAAAAATCAAGATGCAGAATGGGTCTGATAGAAGAGATTGAAAGCTGGGCTGGAACTCAGACCAGGATTCTAGTCCCAGGTGTGACATCTGTGTGACTTCAGGTAAATCCCTGCATGCCCTGGGCCTGGTTTCTTGGCTATAAAGTGGGGAATTTGGAAGACGGGTCTAAAGGCTTCCTGAGCTTCAACACTGTTACCAATGACTGAACTTTAGGTAACCAGCCAAGAGCTGGGGGGGATCCAGCCAAGAGCTGGGGGGGATCCAGCCAAGAGCTGGAGAGGCTCTGGGCTTCACTGGGACCTTCCAGCTGCAAAGATGCTGCCAGTTCTCTCTGGGGGCGGGAAGGCAGACAGGAAACACAGGTCTTACTACACTAGTACCTGCAAGGCCTCTTCCTCTTTATCCTTGTTTATGAAAATTGACCTCAGGATCATCTCGAGGTTGACAGAGAACTTGCTGGTTAACAGAGCCAGAACCTTTGTTGAGGGAGAGAGACATGAGCCTATCTAGCAATAAGGTCTGTCAGAGAAACCTCTCCCAAAAAACTAGGTGAGCACAATGGCTTACTCTCTTTAGGAAACTGCTTCTCCCATCAAAGGGAACAATGAAATGACCTTACAGGGATGCTGCACAGTTCAGATTCTCTCAATGCACTATTTATGTTGTCAGGACCTATGATTATGCCCCCAGCTGTTTCTCATTCCTACTTGGAAATTCAGGATTGCTATCAGCCCATCTACCCAGGTCTGTCTACCCCCATTTCTAGGAGCCAAGAAAGAGATTCACGTACTCACAGAACTTGCTGGTTAACAGAGCTTACTCTGTTACAATGGCTTACTCTCTTCCCCTGACTCCTTAAGGCCAGGTGATCACAGCTCCATGGAAGAGCTAAACAAGTTTGCTGAAAAATCACTTGTTCCATTTGCCTAGACTTGGCTCCCTCCCTCCCCAATAGGCCCTGGACCTCCCAGGGTTGCCTGAAGAGACCCTGCTCTTGTGGGCATGTCCCACGTCCACAGTTACTGCTGTGGCTCTCAAGGAGGCTCCAGCTAGGAGAGCTGTCTACCCTAGAACACAAGGCTTTTCCTTGGCAAGAATGCCTCCTAGTGAGCTCCACTGCCAGCCTTCCCAGCAAAAGTCTCCTGGGCATTTCACTGGTGAAATCATTTAAGAAACACATGCTGGGGCCTCCTCTTCCCACAACATGTTTAAGAATAGCTAGCAACTACAGATGAGAGGGAGAGGCTTGAACTGGTTGCTAGGCCTTTTCAACCCCAGATGGATGAATGGAGAACTTACTGCTGACAGAGGCCTTACATGCCACCAGCCTAGAGTGAAGCCCCCTTCCAGAGGGCTGCCCAGAAGGGGGCTAGGGTCCGAAAGCCCCTTCCCAAACTTCCCCTCTGCAAAGAAACTCCAAGCAGCCTTCTGTTCAGAGGTGTGGATGCTTCATTTTGTGCAAAATTCTTGTCATCATTAACAAAACAGATCTTCAGGTTTCACTGAGGTTATTTACAAGATCACAATATTTATAAACTTTCCCATTTTAAAAACTAGTTACCAAACCCCTGGCAGAATGCTCAGGCCAGCTCCAGTCAGCCAGCTCTCCAACTTCCCAATCTCCTCCTCGCCTATTTCCAGCATCACAGCAAATTAGGAATATACTTGGAAGAAAAAGAGCTAGCTGCCTCCTCTGTGCTCAAGGGAATGTCCACCATAGGTATTTTAGAGCTCCAGATCACCCAAGGACCACACGAAAGCTTGAAGTCTGCCACAGTGAGCATGCCTGGGACCTGGCATATCTCACAAGTACCAGCGTTAACGGAGGCCGGAGAAATGCAAAGGCCTGCTGGGGCAGCCTGGAGATACCACTCATCCTCTCGAGAGTGGAGGCTAGTTCTTGGGGTGGGGTGGGGGGGAGGAATCCCTAGGTGGGAACATCAGCTAAGGCAGCCTCCTCATCTCCTGAGAATAAAGACTAAAGGCTCATAACCACAAGGCACTGCGGCCTGTACCGTGTGCCTGCTCCTTAGCATTCTGGGCCCTCCTTGCAGGGTGAGGACTAAGTGGACCTGAAGCCATCACCAAAGGGTGAGAAGTTCTCAGGGTCCTGTTGTCACCCACTGAAGGCTGGTTCTGAGGAACAGTGTGATGATTACAGCAAAGACTAAGAGTACACAGATTGCGACATTTTATATTCTTTGTTAAATGGTTCCTGGTACGTGTTTTAAGTGACTCTGCTTCTAGTTTAAATGAATGAACCAGATGCAGCTTTCAAGCTGTTTCCTAGAGAATGTGTGGTTGAGCAGAAATGGCTATTTCCACCTGATGCAGGTCCCCACCTGCCTCGCCCTGGAGGCAGCAGCACAAGCCCAGTTTCCACTGTGGTGTTTCCTCAATGACCAGAATACCTGCCAATTCCAGAGGTAAGCAATTCCATTCTTTCTCTCTGGCTCAGTTCAGAGGCTGATGGTCCTGTTAGCACTGCACGCAGGTTGAAACCTGAAAGAGGCTCCCCCAGGCCAGGAGACAACCCTTCAGGTGCAGACTGGGAATAAATGGCTCAACCTGTGATAAGCCCAAGTTCTCCACCTTCTGGAAAAGTAGTGACAGTCATCCAGCAACCGGCCAGCAGCTAGGGGCAAGCGGTGGCAGGGTACACTATTCCCTGCCTCAGTGTGTCCTGTCCAGAGGGTGGGCACAGATATAGGTTCGTTTCTCCAGGATCTGCTGGGACATTTTCTTAATCTGCTCATCTAGGTTTTCTGGAGCATCTGGGAGGAAAAAGGAGACATGGTGGGTGATTTTCTGCATTGTGGTAAGACAAACATGGCTGAAGTGGGGGCATTTTCCCACAAAGCCCACCCACCATGAAGCAGCCCTAAGGGTGACCCCCCTCCTCCAAACCCCTAGCAAGTGATTCGGGGCTGCAGGGAGAGAAAGCGGGTAGAGCTTCATTCTCAGTTACAAAGGGCTCATCTCTAATCCCCAGATCTCATGGGGTGGAGCTGCTGCTTGTTCTGTAAATGCCCCATCTGTGATTCCAACCCACTGGAGGAGAAACCATTTGAGCACTCTATAGTGCATAACCCATCAGCACTGGGTAGGGGGGTGCCTGGGCCACCCCCCACAAGCCACGACCTGTAAAAAGCATATGCCACTTAGTGAGTGCCACACTGCTAGCACCTACCCCCACTACTTGGCAATAGGTCTGGGCTCTGCAAGGACATTGACCCAGAGCTTCGGGCTAACATGACTGTGAGGGTCAGAAGTGGACTGAGCTGGGCATTCCCAGATATGGTCAAGTGGCTATAGAAGAGAAAGAGCACTGCAGACAAGACTGGGGAGCACGAGCAAAGTTCTCTTTTCTCTCAGGCTGAGTCCTCTGCAAGTCGCTGCAAGGTCACTAGATGGAGTGCAGTGGGTAAAAGGGCAGATAAAATGCTGTCTCCCAAACCTCCAATCTTAAAACCAGGTGCTCCTCACTTTGTAAGCCTTCCCGGGGCAGCTTCAAGAATACAGTCAGGGTTGGGCACGGTGGCTCACACCTGTAATCCCAGCATTCTGGGAGGCCAAGGTGGGTGGATCACCTGAGGTCAAGAGTTTGAGACCAGCCTGGCCAACATGGTGAAACCCCATCTCTACTAAATATACAAAAATTATCCAAACATGGTGGTATATGCCTGTGATCCCAGCTCCTCTGAAGGCTGAGGCAGAACTGCTTGAACCTGGGTTGTAGTGAGCAGAGGCTGTACCACTACACTCCAGTCTGAGTGACAAAATGAGACTCTTATCTCCATCTCCAAAAAAAAAAAAAAAAAAAACCAGCCAGGCATCAGGCAGCATGCTGGGCAGATGCCAGGGGCCCTGCACAAGGGGCTCTGCACTTGCTTGATCTGAAACTGCCTTTGTGAATGGAGCAGCTTCGTACCTACAGTGCCTGGCAGGCACTGCTACAGCTAAGCCAGGCCTACCCAGGCCCTCACTCAAGGCAAAGGTCTGGGAGTAGCCAGCAGGCTCTGGGAGCTTGACAGGGTCCAGAAACAGCTCACTATCAACAGGGGCCCAGAAGTGGGCCCTTGCTTTCCTCCCCCGAGACATGCTACTCACACTTGTCCAGCTGACAGAGGCTGGAGAGATTCTGGAAGTAAGCTTCCACGCAGAAGGTGTTGGCCAAGAGAACCTGCCAGAACCGAGGACAGAAAAGATGTGCTCAAATCCCTGTAATCTGACCTCTGAGCTTCAAAAACCCAGCCTGTCAGCCAAACTGGGTAGCATGGGAGGGGTCAAAGGGCTTGACTCAGGAGTCACCCCTGACCCAAACTCTTTTCCCAAAAGCAAGAGACTCAACATCTCTGAGCCTGTTTCTTCTCAGAGGCAGACATCACAATCCTGGTTATCTGCAGGCTGCTCTGGAAAGTGGAGGCAGAGAGCCTGGTACACGGTGGATCCTCGGACTGCACCTGCCTCCCTCCAGCAGAGCGGGCAATGTGCAGGGTCTGCCCCTCGTTGTGGGTGGGGACACTGGATCAGGAACCCCCATCACTTACCTGCATCTTCTCTCAGGCAGGAAGAAGAAAGGGAACAGCTCCATCTCCTAAGCTGCACAGACCCTGCCACTACATAGCGAACCTGCACAGCCCCTCCCACAGTCTCCCCATGCAAGGCCCCCTTACCCGCCCACCCCCTCCCCAACAATCAACTTCAATAAAGTGCAGCAGGACAGAGGCCAGCAACCAGGCCCTGTGTGAGGCTTGGCAGTGCTCACCTCATGGTCGTGGTTACGGAGCCCGATGCGGATGGAGCGGCTAGCCCTCGACAGCACAGCCGTCATGCCATACAGGTTGATGAGAATGTTGGCCACCCGCTTCAGCACCAGCTGCTCCTCCCCGATGGTCTGGGATCACAGAGGCTCTGAGTGAAGACTCACTACCTAAACCAGCCCCCGACATGGTCCCTCCCAGGGCCGCATCTTTGCCTGTCTTTGTCTTAGTCTCCTGTGTTCCTTGAGAAAGTGGAGCCAATAATGCCTTTCCCTTCAGGTTTCGGGAGAACGGTTCCCAGCCACCTTCTGTTTTCCCTTCTCTTCTGTCTCTAGATTCAGGGAGGGGGTTAAAGCACGACCAGGTCCCAGAAACTTGGCTAAAACCAGCAGCCAGTGCCTACTGTGCTACTGTCACCTTCAGCAGTAAGAGACCCACCAATCAGATCCCCAGATTCAGGCGCCAGGTAGGGCTGCCCTCCTGATTCTAGGGAGCCTGTCTTTACCTGGAGGGTACACAGAAAAAAACAGCAGAAAACTCACCCAGCGAGGGTGCCCTCTGAGTAGCTGAGTGGGCCCCACGACAGGCTGATAAAGCCAGCCTGACCTCAGCCACCCCATCCCTCCAGGGTGATCAAGATTTCTGTTCTAGGCCTGGGAGGGCCTGGTTACCTTGCCAAAGCGGAGCAGCAGCGTCTCCACAGTCCGGCCGAAATAGTAGGTATTCTCCTCTAACTTGTTGGCACCCTCCTATTAGCCAAGACAGGACTCAGTTCAGCACCTCATCCCTATCATGCCCTGTCCCACAGCTCAGGTACCAGGCCCTATCTGGGGGAGGCAATCCAAGGTGCCATGGACTAGCTGGTGCTCCCAAACTTCCCCTGGAGGAGCCTAGACCACCCCCACAGTGAGATCTTTTCTGCCATGACGATTCTGGCAGGAGGGCATCCAAGTAGGGGGTATGCCTGCTGGGCCCACTCACCTCAAGACTGGGGTGTATGACTCCAAGTTTGCCTGTCAGCTCCATGTCCACCTTTCTGCCCGTCAAGTCCCAAAGCCTCCGGCCAACAGTCTCCATGACTGTGCTCACAGTGGCCCGTTTAAGCTCACTGCAGAAAGTCCATGGTCCCGTAACTGGAGGCCTTGCTGCTAGCTCTCATTGTCCAGCAACATGGCCTCCCTGGCCTGGGTATGCCGGGCCCCTGGCTACAGGCTGAACCCTCCCCGCTCCATCACCTTCGGGAGAGCAGCCAGTCTCCTCAGGAGAGCCACACGTATTCACCCCATGAGGGGTGGAGTCACAGCCAGCTTCCCAGCGCCTGTCTCCCATGAGGGAGACAAAATTCTACTAGCAACCTGTATTTGGCCTCCAGCAGCGATTTTGGATTGCTGTGCCCCTGGGATGGGGATGGAGGGGAGCAGGAGGGAGGTCTGGCACCTTTAAGGGGATACCTCTCATTCTTCAGGTTCTGAAAAACCAGTTGCCTCCAGTGTGAGGGACCAGAGCAGGGATGTGGTGTGGCCATAAGCGCAGGGCAGCAAGGGCTTCCCTGGGGAGCAAGCCCCACCTGCCCACCAGCACAGGGGAAGGTCTCCTCTGCAAGGCTGTGTCGCGTCCCTCACTCCCCTATGCCCCCACTCCAGGCCGAGGCAGCCCTTTCCTCCTGCGGCCCTGGACTGTCCCCTGCTGGGCAGGTGTAGGACCCAAGGAGCACACAGTGACAATGGGACCTACTGGATCCTGGCGGTTATGATGCGGCCAGCATACTGCAGACCCGTCAGGGCGATGTACATCCGGAGAATCTCGTTGGTTCCCTGTGGCCAGCAGTATAGAGGTCAAAGGCTGTCCCCTCCCCTCCGCCAGGCAGCCGTGGTAGTGCCACGTGCTGGGTAGGCCCAGTCACTGCCTGCTTGCCCATGCCACAGAAGCCACTGCTCCTGAAGCAGCTGGGAGCAGGGCTCTGACCAGGACTCAGGGAGCATACCAGATGGCCATGAGCTACCACTGGGACCCCCCTCTCTCCATGACCAGCCTCACATGTGTCACACATTTCTCCAAGTCTCCAGCTCCTCTTTAAAATGCAAACTAGCGTCCCTGGCTGGTGAGGGGTGCCTGGGGCTCAGCCAGTGCCAGACAGCCACTGCTGGCTCCAGGTGGAGGCCAGATTCCTCACAGAGGCCACAAATTGCTGAACGGGAGTGGCATCTAGAAGCTCCTCAGTGCCAGGTATCATCACCCAGAGGGCTACATGCTCCCCACTCCCCCCACCTGTGATTCTGATCAGAGAGGCTGGTAGGCTTCTGCTCGCTCTGCACAATGGTGCTGTGTGTCAGGTACAGGAGCCTGACCCAGGCCACACAGCCAGCACCTGGGACTGAGGACTGTCTCCTGCAACCAGGCTGATACCACGGATAGCGGGACTCCCTACAGGAAACGGGGAGGACCGTGGAGGCCTCCCGGCACACCAAGCACACTCCAGACAGGAGCTCCCGCCCCACAGCACGAGTCCTGTGTTTTTCCAAGGCCTTGAGGGCTTCTTGAACCCTGCTGACCACCCCAAACCCAGAGAAGCCCAACCCTCCCAGGCTCAAGGAAGGGCCGAGACCACTCCAGTGCCCTCAGGCTGGCCCTTGCCCTGTCTATCCACTAAAACAGGGGAGACGGCTGGAACCCAATGGGGAGGCCTCCCACTGGACAGGCCAGGCCCAGGAGACAAGACTACATTCCCAGAGGCTGACAACGCCCCTCATTACCAGACCTGCTGCTCAGGCCCAAACCCTCTCCCTGTCTCAGGCTGCCTCCCCTGTACGCACCACCATATCCCACCCACCCTGCTGTGTTCTCTTAGGTCTAGCCCCTCCCTCCCAGCAGGAGAGCCCCTGGCCTCTGGCCTCATCCCTGCAACTCATTCTCCACATGAGCCCCTGGGGAGATTTCCCACAACACAGATACAACCAAATAATGCCCTGCTTAAAGACATTTTATGGCTTCCAAATTTCTCTGCTGTCAATCAAGGTCTTCTACAGTCTGGCTGCTTTTCTAGCCTTCCCATGCACCTTCTGGAACACCCTCAAATGCACTGCCTGGCATAGCACACCTAGAAGGACTGACTGCTGCTCCCAGAAAGTCCTTCTCTTTTTTTTTTTTTTTTTTTTTTGAGACGGAGTTTCACTCGTTACCCAGGCTGGAGTGCAATGGCGCGATCTTGGCTCACCGCAACCTCCACCTCCCGGGTTCAGGCAATTCTCCTGCCTCAGCCTCCCAGGTAGCCGGGATTACAGGCACGCGCCACCATGCCCAGCTAATTTTTTGTATTTTTAGTAGAGACAGGGTTTCACCATGTTGACCAGGATGGTCTCGATCTCTTGACCTTGTGATCCACCCGCCTCGGCCTCCCAAAGTGCTGGGATTACAGGCTTGAGCCACCGCGCCCGGCCTGAAAGTCCTTCTCTCTCTCTTCATTCACCTTGTGCCAGCAGATCAGTCCCATCTGGGCCTGGCACACTCCATTTCCCTACCCTTCGGGACACATTGCCCTCCCCACCCTCAGCCCTTGTCAAAGCCCGTTCTTTCTGCCCCTAAGGGCCAGGAGCACATGCTTCAGAAAACTCCGGCTGCCTCTGGAGGGTGCCCACTCCCTGCCTCTTTGTACTGGCACTCTGTCATCTCCCTTGGTCAGCACAATCGGAACACAGCACCCAAAGTCTCTGTGACCTAATTCCCTCCCCTGCCACCTGGCACATGCTAACTGAACCAACTCTTCAGTCTTGTGACTTCATGGAGGGCAGCAATCAGGAATGAGACATGCCAGGGCTAGCAGAGCCCTTGAGAGCCAATCAGAGCATGCAATCCAGCCCTGGGCTGTGGGCACCACTTTGGGGTCCTCTGCGAGGCCCTAAGCAGCTTCTTTAGGACCAGGCAGGGTGGGGGTGGAGAGCAGCCTAGCTGGTAGCAGGGCCACTCACCTCGAAAATGAGGAGGATGCGGGCGTCACGCAGCATGCGCTCGTACGGATAGTCCCTCATGTAGGCCAAGCCCCCGAAGATCTGCAGCGCCTCATTCACACATTGCCAAGCAGCCTCAGAGCTGAACACCTGTGGGCCCAGGGCAAGGTCAGCATGGGGTGTCACACTGATTCCCTTTCAAAAGGAGGACCTATGCTACAGGGATCTGGGAGGCTGGGGAGGCGTGGGAGGCACCCAGACTTGGGGAGGACATGGGCCAGGGAGGAGCTCGAGGGGTGATGTGGGCAAGTCCTTTGCCTTCCTCGACCACACTGGCCAGGTTGTGGTCCCTACCCCACCATGACCTTCTGGGCCCACCTTCGCCCCCTCTGTACCTGGCTGAGCGCCTCTTCCTTTAACACCCATTTAAGATCTTCCCTTCCCCAGAAAGCCTGACCTGTTCCTGCCCAGCCCTGGTGGCGTGACTTCTTTCTGTCTCTGCACACGATAAGCACCTTGGGTGCAGACATACTGCCATATTAAGCTCTAGGCTTCGCACATGGAGAGGATGGCCCACAGCAAGCTAATGTCTGTGGTCACTGTTCATGAGGTGACAAGACGACGAGGTAATAAAACATGTGCAAATGCACCCAGTATGCAGGCTGTAACTAGGAAAGACTCAAATGCCACCCAAGATGCCCAACCTTTTTTTTAAATTTTTTTATTTTTTTCAGGGACCTTCCCACTTCAGGATCCCAACGTTATAAGTAGACTCTCCTGCTGACACCAGGATGTTCGCTTCTCTAAACTGCTATACCTCTCACCATTTCTCTCAGGAGTTCAATTCTAGCTTAAAAACAATTGTTGGGGGGAAGAAAGTAGGGTCCCCCAAAGGGTGGCCATCTTTTTTATACAGCTAAAAATGACACCCTCTACCATGAACAAAACAAAAGCAACAGAAAACTCTAGTATCTACCTCAACCAGGTAAGATAATCTTCCCACCTCAGCCTCCCAAGTACAGGTGTGTACCACTACGATGGCCAATTTTTGTATTTTTTTGTAAGAGATGGGGTTTTGTCATGTTGCCTGGGCTTGTATACTTAGTTTTTTGTTTTTCGTTTTTTTGGTTTTTTTTTTTGAGATGGAATTCGCTCTTGTTGCCCAGGCTGGAGTGCAGTGGCACGATCTCAGCTCACTGCAACCTCTGCTCCCTGGGTTCAAGCGATTCTCCTGCCTCAGCCTTCCAAGTAGCTGGGATTACAGGTGCCCACAACCTTGCCCGGCTATTTTTTTCTATTTTTAGTAGAGATGGGGGTTCATCATGTTGGTCAGGCTGGTCTCGAACTCTAGATCTGTGATCCACCCACCTCAGCCTCCAGAAGTGCTGGGATTACAGGCGTGAGCCACCACGCCTTGCCATATATTTAGTTTTTAAGAGGACGTTTTGAAACCAAAAACTAGGAAGGCCATAAATCAAGGAAAAAAGGAGTTCTTCTCACAAAAGCCAGCTGCAATGTTATCATTCTAAAAGGACGTTAACAGAATGGTCTCCTTCTGCTATAAACTGCTGATCCACTGGCAAAAGCTTGGCAGAAACTGCACTGTGGGAGCATGGAGCCTTCCTACAAACTGCTGCTCACCAGTCACGTCCCTGCTGCTGCTCCCCGCCCGGTGCCTGTCTAACCCTGGAGTGCTGCACAGGGCGAGTGCATCATAAATACTGGATCAGTGACAGGAGGAAGACGACAGGCAACAGCATGGGCTTGAAAAGTAACAGTGGGGGAGCTTTCCCAAGCCTCCCTCCAGCGCCAGCTGTCTGGCTATGCCAGCGTTACCTTCACCATGGCCGCCTCGATGGAGCAGTCGGGAAAGCCCGGTTGGTCTAGCATCCCTGCCGTGAGGTAGGTCATACTCTCCATGGCGTACGCCTTCTGAGCCATCAGTGCAAACTTCTCCTGGAGTATTCAGAAAAAAACATAAGAAGCAATTTGCATGTGCTGAGCCAAATCTTCAAAAGAGGAGAGAAAGTAATTAAGTAAGAATCCTGATTTCCTAAGAGAAGCCAGCCCAGCGACCCTCGTCAAATAAAGCCTGAACTAGTCTTCTTCCCAAACCACCACAGAAGAGTCACCAGTACAGAGACAGCAAAAGAACACATTGTCATGTCACACAGTGAAATCCACAAAGACAGCACTCAACCATCTATACCTGAATCAATCCAAATTCGCTGAGTCTCTTGTTAAACTGTTTCCTTGTGCAGGCGTACTCAGCAGTCACTTCTGAGGAAGCGCAGAGTCATTAGAAAGAACTGGAAATTTTCTGTTATTGAAACATGATTTCCTATGGCCATTATCCTTACCCTTCCCACAGGCGGGCACTATGAGAAGCACGTCTGCTGAGATCAAATACCCCAGAAGCTGGTACCCCCATTTGCCAGCACCCATGGGTCAGAGGAGAACCACCCCTCCTCATGGCCATCTACGGTTTAGCATCAGATACAGACTTGAGTCCTGGCAATGGTTCTTACAGCCAGTGGCCTGGGCCCAGCATGTCACTCCCTGAACACCACCACCTACGTCACAGTCGCTGTGAAGATGCAACTGGGGGAAGGCAGAGGGCTCCTCACACGAAGCCAGCACAAAGGCCCCAGACAGAGGCGGTGTGGGCCCAAACCCAGCGCACAGTGCTCCTGACCAAACCAGGTGGGGCCGCCTGGCTTGAATACTCGGGCTGGGGCTTCCAGGCATGTGGCTGTGACAAAGTGCTGAGCTCTGAGGGCCCATGAGTGACATGGCGCCTCTCCCAGGCAGAAGCACCCCCCACCCCTCGCCCCTAGCCATGTTCTCCACAGGCTCTCCCAGGTGTGGTGAGCTCAGGAGGTGACAAGGGCTGAGGCTCCCCAGAGGACTTGCGAGTGAGAAAAGCCCTGAGCCTGGAGTCTGAGAGCTTTAGTTTTGGGTCCAGTTGCCCTCTCTGAGCCTCTGTCTTCTCATCTCTAAAATGGAGGTAAACCAAAACAAGTATGCCCATCTTGGCCCAAAAGAGGCCAGCTCAGAGCCTGGCATCCAAAGAGGAGCTTCATAAAGCACTTAGGGGTGTGCCATCCCGGGCATTCCCATTTCCTCACGGATGCTTCCACAACAGACAGGATGGTTACGAGGTTGTTACAAGTTCACTGGCAAAGGAAAAGGGGGGTTTCAGATAACCTGACAGAACAGAAGAAAGATCGATCCAGAGGCCCAGGGACCTGGGTTCCAAACCCGACCCCACTCCCCACGCACCATGCGGTCACCAAGGAGGTGTGAATCTTGGGCACCTGAGGCCATGTGTCCTGGGAGTCTGGCTCATGGTGCGCGCTCACCAAGCAGCTCGGCCCTACTCCTCTCGCCCCACACAGAAAGCCTGTTCCCCCATCCCTATCCCCTGTGTGGAGATGAAACAGGAATTCGAAGACGACGAATTCGGGGGCAGGCTGAGGAGACTTTCTGGCCTCCACAAAAGCCCAGGGACGGAGCTCGGGCTGGACCCTCAGTCGAGCTGGCCTAGTTCAGCACCAGCCTGGAGGTGGCCAGGAGAATGGCAGAGCCTCCAGGGATGGAGCCGGGGCAGCGGGGAGTGGAGCACAAAGGGCCTTGTCCCTGACTTACCTACCAATCAATCTCTTGACCATCCCAGCCACGGCGCTGCCCATACTGAACCGGCCGCTGTTGAGGATGTCCATGGCCACCTGCAGGGAGAAAGGGAGAGCCCAGGGGCCCTGAAGGAGGCAGAGGGAGGAGGCCATAACCACACGTCTACCTTTACCAGACCAGGCGAACGGATCAGCTTGCCTTCTCTCGGGCTGGGAGAAAGCACTGTCCTGACATCTCGGAACAAGGTAGTTCACTCACTGCTGCACCTCTACCAACGTCCCGCACACAAGAAAGACCACTGAACGTTATTCCAAAGGAACATGCCAGAGCTGGGCATGGTGGCTCCCACCTGTAGTACCAGCATTTTGGGAGGCCAAGGCAGGAGGCTCACTTGAGCCCAGGAGTTCAAGACAAACTTGGGCCCAACAGAAATTCCACATGTAGGTATAAAGCAAAATAACTGAAAACATATTTCCACACAAAAACTTGACATGAATGTTCATAAGCATTATTGATAGCAGCCAACAGTGCTAACCCCAATGCCCATCAGCTGGTGAATGGATGAACAAAATGTGCTATCTCCACTCAACAAAAGATAATTTAGCCATAAAAGGAATGAATTCATGCTACAAGAGAGATGAACCTTGAAAACATCACACTATGTGAGAGAAGCCTGTCACCAAAGACTGGATCTTGCATATGACTGTATTTCTATGAAATGTTCTGAACATGCAAATCCATAAGGACATAAAGTAAAAGAGTGGCAGCCAAGGGATGGGGATAGGGGCCTACTGGACAGTATAACATTTCTTTATGGGGTAAGGAGATGTTCTGCAATTAGGCACAGGAAGTATCTGAACAACATAGTGAATATACTAAAAACCACTGAAATACACGTTTTAAAATGGTGAGTCCTTTGTTATATGAATCATCTCTTGATAAAAAACATCTCATTTTAGTCTAAAAAGAAAAGAGTGGGGCAGGGAGGTAGATACACAGCTTGAGCTTCACCGGAGCCCACGGGCTGCTTTCTCACACCCACTGTGAAGCGGACCCTAGACTCTGCTTGAAATGAAGGAAGATTCTCAACCTTACCACATACTCCTTTTAGGAGCTGGCCAATTTCCCAGTCTCCATTTCCGACTTCCCAACAGACAACCACACGAAGTCACCTGCCAAGCACAGGCTGCTCTGCTATGAGCAAGGATGGGCAAAAGCTGGGGGCCGAAAAGTCGCACTTGAGACACTACACGGTACTCACAAGGGGCTGTGGCTGGCAACTCACCTTAAACCCACCTCCGACCTCTCCAAGGACATTTTCCACAGGTACCTTGGTGTCTTCAAAATGGACTTCGCAGGCTGAAACACATGAAATTGAAGATCTCATCTGACAATGCAAACCACTCTGCATTTGACCTGCAAAAGCAGGTAATTCATCCGTCCGTCCATCCGTCCAACGTTTGGAAGGACAGTATGGAAAGACAAAGTTCCTGTCTTTGTGGAGTTCATACTTTGGTTAGGGAGATAAACTATAAACAAACAATGTAATATTGTCATCAGTGCAATGGATGAAATAAACGGCAACATGATAAGGAGAAACGGAGGTTGGCAAGGGGATGGATAATAATGTTCTTACTAAGGGCTATGTCAGACTTTTGTAAGGTGGCATTTAGCAGAAGTGTAAAGAATGAAAAGAGCCAGGCATATAAAGAGGCAAAACAAGCAAAGACAGGGAGAGAACAGCATTTCCTAAGGTCTCAGGGTAGACTGAGACCACTGGTCTCAATTCTTAACTCTAACACAACCACACCCCTGCAATCTAACTGTAGCACTCTCCCACTGTGGGGAGGGGTGGACCTCCCTCCCCTCCCTTTCCCTGTCTGCTAGGTATGACCATGTGACTTGCTGTGGCCACTAGAATAAAGCTGAGCCAACACGAACAGAGGCCTTAAATGGGCTTTTAGGGTCATGCCTCTAAAGCCAGCATTTTGGGAGGCAGAGGTGGGAGGATCGCTTGAACCGAGGTGTTAGAGACCAGCCTGGACAACATAGCAAAACCTCTATTAAAAAAAAAAGAGCCGGGCGCGGTGGCTCAAGCCTGTAATCCCAGCACTTTGGGAGGCCGAGGCAGGTGGATCACGAGGTCGAGAGATCGAGACCAACCTGGTCAACATGGTGAAACCCCGTCTCTACTAAAAATACAAAAAATTAGCTGGGCATGGTGGCACGTGCCTATAATCCCAGCTACTCAGGAGGCTGAGGCAGGAAAATTGCCTGAACCCAGGAGGCGGAGGTTGCGGTGAGCCGAGATCGCGCCATTGCACTCCAGCCTGGGTAACAAGAGCTAAACTCCGTCTCAAAAAAAAAAAACAAAACAAACAAACAAAAAAAAGAAACAAAAAAACAAGGTGGCCAGAGATGGTGACTCACACCTGTAATCCTAGCACTCTGGGAGGCTGAGGTGGGTAGATTGCACCTGAGCTCAGGAATTTGATACAAGCCTACAAACCTGGGCAACATGGTGAAACCCTGTCTCTACAAAAAAACACAAAAATTGGCCAGGTGTGGTGGTACACACCCATAGTCCCAACTACTTGGGAGGGTGAGGCAGGAGAATCGCTGGAACCCAGGAGGCAGAGGCTGCAGTGAGCTGAGATCACATCACTGCACTCCAGCCTGGGTGAGAGAGAGAAAATCTGTCTCCTCCGACAAAAAAGTGCCAATATGAGGGCCGGGCGTGATGGCTCATGCTTGTAATCCAAACACTTTGGTTGCCAAGGCGGGCGGATCACCTGAGGTTGGGAGTTCAAGACCAGCCTGACCAACATGGTGAAACCCCGTCTTTAAAATATATATAAGTAAATAAAAATAATAATAAAATAAAAAATAATTTTTTTAAAAGTGCTTATATGGGGCCGGGCGCGGTGGCTCACGCCTGTAATCCCAGCACTCTGGGAGGCCGAGGCGGGCAGATCACGAGGTCAAGAGATCGAAACCATCCTGGTCAACACGGTGAAACCCCATCTCTACTAAAAATACAAAACATTAGCTGGGCATGGTGGCGCGTGCCTGTAATCCCAGCTCCTCAGGAGGCTGAGGCAGGAGAATTGCCTGAACCCGGGAGGCGGAGGTTGCGGTGAGCCAAGATCACGCCATTGCACTCCAGCCTGGGTAACAACAGCGAAACTCCATCTCAAAAAAAAAAAAAAAAAAAAAAAAAAAAAAAAAAGTGCTTATATGGTTTGGCTTGGCCCCTTGGGTGCTTGTGATCTGCTGTAAGAACAAGCCTTCAGATGGACCTGAATCCAACCCATAGCCTGAAGCAGGCTGCCAGGCACCTGCAGACTGAGACAACTAAAGGCTGGGGGCTATAAGCTGAGCTCTAAGGTGGTCTGTCCACCAGGGCTGCCACAGTAGGAGATGACCACCAGCACTTCAAGTGAGCAGCACTTGGCTGTGAGAACAAAGACAAAGCCCATGTGGCACTCTTAATTTGATCTTTAAAATGCTTAACAAAAACTGAAAGTATTTAAATCTCATTTTGTCTTGCTATTTGAACAGTCAAGGGCCAGTCTCTCCCTATCTCTCTCTCTTTCTCTTTCTCTCTCCCCCCCACCCCACACACACACACCCCTGAATGCTATTTGGACACAGTCAAGAGCAAGTCTCCCCTAACACACACACACACGAGCTACTTACTATTGGAGCCCCAAATGCTATTTGGACAGTCAAGAGTCAGTCTCCCCCTAACACACACACACACACCACAGACACTCTACTTACTGTTGGAACCCCGAATGCCTAACTTATCTTCAGGTTTCCCATTAGTGACTCCACCAAAGTCTCTTTCTACTATGAATGCTGTGATTTTGTCTTTCACCGATCCATCAGAATCAACGACCTCAGTCTTTGCAAACACAGTAAAAATATTGGCCAGTCCTCCATTGGTAATCCAGACCTGAGAACAGAAAGAAGGACTTTGGAGAAAACCAAACCCCTATGTGAACCATCTCAACTCTGTCTTTGCCCATCAAGCTCCAGCTGCCAGTCAGACCTTAGACCAGACATGCAGGGTCCCTGGCATTGCAGAAGCCAACCAATCATGAGGAACAGAGGACAGGGCTCAGCCCAGTCTCCCAGAGCAAGGATTTTTCCCAAGGGACACGTGTGGCCAGGGTGGGGGAGGGGGGAAAAGAACATCCAAAGTTGTCAAACAGCTCAGGCTCCACTGCCAGACAACTGCATTTCTTCAAGAAAGAAAAGGTTTAATCATTTCTCAAGGTATACATATATCAAAACATCATGTTGTACCTGTAAAATAAATACATTTACTTGTTAATTCTAAAACAATGAAAAAAAGGTGGGAGGGTGGCGAGGAGGAGGAAAGGAAACAGGGAGGCAGAGAGAAACAGACTCCTTAGCAAACTGCCACAGATGAGGCAATCAGGGATATCTGAATGCTGATAGAGGTAAGAAATTATCAGCTGGGCACAGTGGTTCATGCCTGTAATTCCAGCACTTTGGGAAGCCGAGGTGGGCAGACTGCTTGAGCCAAGCATTTGAAACCAACCTGGACAACATGGTAAAAACCCATCTCAACCGGGCGCGGTGGCTCAAGCCTGTAATCCCAGCACTTTGGGAGGCTGAGGCGGGTGGATCACGAGGTCGAGAGATCGAGACCATCCTGGTCAACATGGTGAAACCCCGTCTCTACTAAAAATACAAAAAACTAGCTGGGCGTGGTGGCGCGTGCCTGTAATCCCAGCTACTCAGGAGGCTGAGGCAGGAGAATTGCCTGAGCCCAGGAGGCGGAGGTTGCGGTGAGCCGAGATCGCGCCATTGCACTCCAGCCTGGGTAACAAGAGCGAAACTCCGTCTCAAAAAAAACAAAACAAAACAAAACAAAAAAACCCATCTCTACCAAAAAATTAGCTGTGTCCCTACACTCCCAGCTACTTGGGAGGCTGAGGTAGGAGAATCACCTGTGCCTAGGAAGCTGAGGCTGCAGTGAGCCAGGATCATGCCACTGCACTCCAGCTTGGTTGACGGAGTGAGGCCCTGTCTCAAAAAAAAAAAAAGGGGGGGGGGAATTAACAATTTTTAAAATGTGATAACAGTATGATGGCTTTTTCTTTAAAAAAAAAAAACTCTTTTCTTTTGGAGAGACATGTTGAGACTGTTACCATGCGACCTAGAGGTGGTGATGCTATTGGAAGACGCACAGCGGCCTGAGTAATAAGTAATAAGATTGCCAGTAAAGGCAGTTGACCCTGGGCCTGCCCTAAGATGCTCCAAGCTCAGTAAGCAGATGAGCAGATGACTGCTGGGTTTGGGGCCAGGCACACAGAACATGTCTGAAATTTTGTGTAACAAAAAATTTAAAGCTTTTTTGGGGTTTACAGGCCAGGCACGTTGGCTCATGCCTGTAAACCCAGCACTTTAGGAGGCTGAGGTGGATGGATCACTTGAGGTCAGGAGTTTAAGACCAGCTTGGGCAACGTGGTGAAACTCCATCTCTACTAAAAATATAATTATTAGCTGGGTGTGGTGGTGCTCACCTGTAATCCCAGCTACTCGAAAAGCTGAGGTGGGAGAATCACTTGGACCTGGGAGGCAGAGGTTTCAGTAAGCCAAGATCACACCACTGCACTCCAGCCTGGGTGACAGAGTGAGACTCTGTCTTAAAAAAAATTAAAAACAGGCGGGCGCGGTGGCTCACGCCTGTAATCCCAGCACTTTGGGAGGCCGAGGCGGGTGGATCACGAGGTCGAGAGATCGAGACCATCCTGGTCAACATGGTGAAACCCCGTGTCTACTAAAAATACAAAAAACTAGCTGGGCGTGGTGGCGCGTGCCTGTAATCCCAGCTACTCAGGAGGCTGAGGCAGGAGAATTGCCTGAACCCAGGAGGCGGAGGTTGCAGTGAGCCGAGATCGCGCCACTGCACTCCAGCCTGGGTAACAAGAGCGAAACTCCGTCTCAAAAAAAAAAAAAATTAAAAACAAACACATAAAAGCAGCTCAAGAAGGCAGTCAGTGCTATGGCAGTAGGTACAATCCCTGGTGTGTGGAGAGCGCTTACTCAGTGGCAGTGAAGGTCGTGACTAAGACCCTGACGTGGCCTCGAGGACAGAGCCCTACCTTGGAGCCGTTGAGGATGTAGTGCCTCTTGTCTTCACTTAGCCTGGCTCTGCTGTGGATTGAGGCTGCATCACTCCCACTGCAGATGCAGAAAAATGCGGTCAAGGAAGAATACTGGGAATAAATATGAATGCTTTCGAGGGCCTGAAAATGGAGATTTCAGTATTTTTCAGATAGAGGTCAACCAACTTTTAGATCAGATAACATACTCAGCTTTCCAAGCTATAGGATGTCTGTGTCACCTCCTCAACTCTGCTGCTATTAATAGAACATGAACGCAGATGAAGACAATTTGTAAAACGATGGGCATATTCCAATAAAATGGAACCTGGTATGATGGCTCACGCCTGTAATCCCAGCACTTTGGGAGGCTCAGGTGGGGAGATCATTTGAGGTCAGGAGTTCGAGACCAGCCTGGCCAACGTGGTGAGACCTGGCCTCTACTAAAAATACAAAAATCAGCCAGGTGTGATGGCATATGCCTGTAATCCCAGCTACTTTGGAGGCTGAGGCAGGAGAATCACTTGAACCTGGGATGTGGAGGTTACAGTGAAATGAGATTGCATCACTGCACTCCAGCCTGGGCAACACAGTGAGCCTCCGTCTCCAAACAAAACCAGAAACAGAAACAAAAACCCCAAACTTATACCAAAAATACAAAAAAAAAAAAAATTAGCAGGGCATGGTGGCATGTGCCTATAATCCCAGGTACTAAGGAGGCTGAGGCAGGAGAATTGCTTGAACCTGGAGGTGGGGGTAGCAGTGAGCCAATATCTCGCTGCTGTACTCCAGCCTGGGCAACAAAGACTCTGTCTCAAAAAAAAAAAAAAAAAAAAAAAAAAAAAAAAAAAAAAAAAAAAAAAAAAAGCCGGGCGCGGTGGCTCAAGCCTGTAATCCCAGCACTTTGGGAGGCCGAGGCGGGTGGATCACGAGGTCAAGAGATCGAGACCATCCTGGTCAACATGGTGAAACCCCGTCTCTACTAAAAATACAAAAAATTAGCTGGGCATGGTGGCACGTGCCTGTAATCCCAGCTACTTAGGAGGCTGAGGCAGGAGAATTGCCTGAGCCCAGGAGGCGGAGGTTGTGGTGAGCCGAGATCGCGCCATTGCACTCCAGCCTGGGTAACAAGAGCGAAACTCCGTCTCAAAAAAAAAAAACCTTGGGCTTAGGTATAAATATGAAAATTAGTACTTACAGTAGGCTAATTTGCGGTCCTGTGAGGACGAGTTCTGGACACCCCAAGAAGAATGACTGTTCCCACGTCCCCATGCAAAGGGAAGCTGGATGGAGTACGGTCACAGGTGATGGACTTATCATCAGAGTCCCGAGTCCTGCCGTAGCCCTGCTCCATCCCAGCAGATCACATGGCCTTACTGAACCTCAGCTCCTAATGTGTAAGTGGGAACAGTACCACCCATGCTACAAATTCTGAAACGCACTGAATGCATTACTGTATGTCAAGGTGTATTGTAAACCACAAAAATTCGTTTAATAAGTGCTGTCAATTGTGGTATATCTCACTTGTAAGTCTCACTGGGACAGAGAAATAAAGTCAAGAGGAATGGCAAGAACAGTTGCTGAGTTGATTCTTTGGAAGATTTTGGAAAGAAGGAAAAGTCAGCTGCTCAAGAAAACCAACAGCCCCTTGCCCCAGGGAATCTTGGAAAATACCATGGCTGCCGAGGGATAATGTTCTGTGCGGGGACAGACCTGGCTGGCTCGGTGAGGCAAAAGGCTGCAATGTGCTCCCCAGACGCCAGTTTAGGTAAGTATTTGAGCTTCTGCTCCTCAGTACCAGCCAAGATGATCCCCTAAACAAAACAGACACAGACTAATGTCAGCTGTGGGGAGAAAGGAGTGTGTGAGGTGTGCTTCTGAAACATTTCCTTTCTGAGGTAAATATTTACTTCGGTCAAGAGGACAGCAAGAGCTCAGGGCAAGCAGCCACAGGCAGAGCCCAGGGAGCCAGGCTGCTGAGGAGACTGTCAAGGGCGCATGTGCCAGTACAAGCCTGCGGGACCCACAGTGCTTTGCAGTCTATGTCTAAAACTTTCCTATCAGTTCCTCCATTTCCCAGCCTGGTGGTCTTGGGCAAGGAATATCCCTTCCCAAAGGAACCCTCCATCTTGTCATCCACAAACTGGGCCACTCCAACCCACTGGCAGGGTGGTCTGGATGATGAAACATACGGGAGTGCAGGAGCCAAGCCTATCCCAAGGTGCTCAGCTGGGCGCGATGGCTCACACCTGTAATTCCAGCACTTCGGGAGGATGAGGCTGGTGACTGGTGGATCACGAGGTCAAGAGATCAAGCCCATGGTGAAACCTCGTCTCTATTAAAAAATACAAAAAAATTAGCTGGGTGTGGTGCCACACACCTGTGGTCCCAGCTACTCAGGAGGCTGAGGCAGAATTGTTTGAACCCAGGAGATGGAGGCTGCAGTGAGCCGAGATCGTGCCACTGCACTCCAGCCTGGCACCTGGCGACAGAACAAGACTCTGTCTCAAAAAAAAAAAAAAAAAAAAGCCGGGCGTGGTGGCTCGAGCCTGTAATCCCAGCACTTTGGGAGGCTGAGGCGGGTGGATCACAAGGTCAAGAGATCAAGACCATCCCGGTCAACATGGTGAAACCCCATCTCTACTAAAAATACAAAAAATCATCTGGGCATGGTGGCGTGTGCCTGTAATCCCCAGCTACTCAGGAGGCTGAGGCAGGAGAATTGCCTGAACCCAGAAGGCGGAGGTTGTGGTGAGCCGAGATCGCGCCATTGCACTCCAGCCTGGGTAACAAGAGCAAAACTCCGTCTCAAAAGAAAAAAAAAAAAATGGTGCTCAATGTCAGGGCTGTCCCACCTGCTGCCCTGCTAGTGCCACACAGACAGGCCCCTTCTTCACTAAACATCTGCATGAATGCGCACGCTCTCTGGGGTGGAGAAGCTGAACATGGTGTGCATTCAGCTCTCTTTGATGTCAACATTAAGCAGAAATAACCGGAGTAGTAAGATTGTCAGTAAAGACCCTGGACCTGCCTAAGGTGCTCCAAGCCCAGCATGGGGAAGGTGGCATGTGAAAACAGTGGGGGACACGCTCAGGCTGAGGGACAAAGGGCTCCGGAGGGAAGGCTACTTCCAGCCCACGGTGAAGGCAGCAGCACCCCACCTGGGCCTTGAAGAGTGGATCAGAGGCATTGAGGACAGGAGGCAGATTCAAAAGAAAGGGACAGTGTGACCCAAGGGCCACTGTACATGTGTGTGTGGGGACTGAGCACCACGAGGTGTGGCCGGAGTGAGGGAACTGGAGGGCAGGGCTGCCTATCAGGTAAGGTCTGATTCACTTCTCATAAAAGGGAGCAAGCCTCTGACCTCTACCCCCGCTATGTGACTCCAGAAGACCTACAGAGAGCAACACAGAGAGAACCCCCAGACACCTGACCTTGAGGCCAATAGCCTGGTGTGCTGCCAGAGTCACAGAAATGGACCCATCCATGCTGGTGATCTCCGCTAGTCGTGAGTACATGGTGTTGGAGAGGCCCAGGCCACCTAGGAGAGACAAACCAGTGTCAATCAGAGCCCAGGCCCAGATTCCTCCCATTAAGGCTTCTTTTTTAATTTTCCTGATTACAGGCCAGTGTCAATCAGAGCCCAGCCCCAGATTCCTCCCATTAAGGCTTCTTTTTTAATTTTCCTGATTACGAACCAGTGTCAATCACAGCCTAGCCCCAGATTCCTCCCATTAAGGCTTTTTAATTTTCCTGATTATAAAGTAATGCCAGATCACTATATTAAAAAAAAAAAAAAAAAAAAAAGCCAGGCACGGTGGCTCACGCCTGTAATCCCAGCACTTTGGGAGGCCGAGGAGGGTGGATCACGAGGTCAAGAGATTGAGACCATCCTGGTCAACATGGTGAAACCCCGTTTCTACTAAAAATACAAAAAATCATCTGGGCATGGTGGTGCGTGCCTGTAATACCAGCTACTCAGGAGGCTGAGGCAGGAGAATTGCCTGAACCCAGAAGGCAGAGGTTGCGGTGAGCCGAGATCGCGTCATTGCACTCCAGCCTGGGTAACAAGAGCGAAACTCCGTCTCAAAAAAAAAAAAAAAAAAAATTAGCTGGGCACAGTGGTTCACACCTGTAATCTCGACACTTTGGGAAGCTGAGGCGGGTGGATCACCTGAGGTCAGGAGTTCAAAACTAGCCTGGTCAACATAGTGAAACCCTGTCTCTACTAAAAATACAAAAAATTAGCTGGGCATGGTGGCAGGTGCCTGTAATCCCAGCTACTTGGGAGGCTGAGGCAGGAGAATCACTTGAACCTGGGGGGCAGAGGTTGCAGTAAGTGGAGATCACATCATTGCACTCCAGCCTGGGCGACAAGAGTGAAACTCCATCTCAAAAAATAAAAAAATAAAAAACACATTACAATACAGTCCAGGCACTGTGGCCCAGTACTTTGGGAGGCCAAGGTGGGCAGATCACCTGAGATCAGGAATTTGAGACCAACCCAGCCAATGTGGTCTCTACTAAAAATACAAAAATTAGCTTAGCGTGGTAGCAAGCACCTGTAGCCCCAGCTACTCAGGAGGTTGGGGCAGGAGAATCACTTAAACCTGGGAGGCAGTGGTTGTGGTGAGCCAAGATCACGCCATTGCACTCCAGCCTGGTGACAGAGGGAAACTCCATTTAAAAAAAGAAAAAAAAAAAAATATATCAGCCGGGTGTGGTGGAGCATGCCTGTAGCCCCAACTACTCGGGAGGCCGAGGCATGAGAATCACCTGAACCTGGGAGGCAAAGAGGCTGCAGTGAGCCAAGATCACACCACTGCACTCCAGCCTGGGCAACACAGAGAGACTCCATCTCAAAAATAAAAGAAAGAAAATCACAATATAGAAAGGTACAAAGTAATAAAAAACAAAGGCTGGGCGCAATGGCTCACACTGTTATCCCAGCACTTTGGGAGGCTGAGGTGAGAGGACTGTTTGGGTCCAGGAGTTTAACACTAGCCTGGTCAACATAGCAAGACTCCATCTCTACAAAATAAAAAAAATTCAGCAGGCATGGTGGCTCATGCCTGTAGCCCCAGCTACTTGGGAGGCCGAGGTGGGAGGACTGGTCGAGCCCAATGAGTTCAGGGCTACAGTGAGCTATGATCACACACCATTGCACTCCAGATCTCACAACAGAGTGAGACCCTGTCTCAAAAAAAAAAAAAATTGCTCACAATCTTGTGCCTCAGAAAGCGATTTTTTTTTTTTTTTTTTTGAAACGGAGTTTCACTCTTGTGACCCAGGCTGGAGTGCAATGGCGCGATCTCGGCTCACCGCAACCTCCGCCTCCTGGGTTCAGGCAATTCTCCTGCCTCAGCCTCCTGAGTAGCTGGGATTATAGGCACGTGCCACCATGCCCAGCTAATTTTTTGTATTTTTAGTAGAGACAGGGTTTCACCATGTTGACCAGGATGGTCTTGATCTCTTGACCTCGTGATCCACCCGCCTCGGCCTCCCAAAGTGCTGGGATTACAGGCTTGAGCCACCGCGCCCGGCCCGAGAAAGCGATTTCTATGTATATCTTTTCATCCATACTTTTTCTAGGCATACAAGCATATGTAGATACTTAAAATATGAAGATATCTATACACACACTGAATCAATTAACATGTAGCGAGAATCTTCTATCACAGTTGAAGGTCTTTATAAATGCAACAGCTATAGTGTGTCCCACTGCCCAATATCCAGGACTCCAGGACAGAGTTTCTCTACTGTGGCACTATAACATTTTGGAATGGATTGTTCTCCATTGTGGGGGTCTGTCCTGCGGATTGTCTGATGCTTAGCAGCATCCTTGACCTTTATCATTTTACATCAAAAGGGCCTGAGGGTAAACATAAATGGCACACGTGCGTTTTTCTATCCTCTGAACCATTTTCTACCTTGCCTCCCCCACACTGCTTGCCGGTCCCTTTAAACCTCTGCAGAATTCAGGTGACCAACTAAGAACAAGCAAAAGGGAGGCAAGCTGTAGTGACTGGCCAACTCAAATAAGGCAGAACCTCCACTTGGCAGCTAAAAACATCACTACAATGCTCAAAGAATTATGGGGACAGTCCATAGGACATAGGACCCTGTGCAAAGGTTCCCACTGGTCCAATCTCCCCCCTCGATGTGCCTGGCACCCTACAGCCAGCCAGACCACATGCCTCATTCCTCTGTGCTAGGATGAGAAGCACGGGACCCAAGAGCACTTCCTCCCTAAAGGTCCTTCAGTCAGTCTACATCCACCCACCATGTAGCCCACAACAGATGGTATCACCTATTCCAGCAGCTAGACCTTCGATATGCTGCATTTAAAGGTCAACTTTCCTAAACAGAACCCTTTTATAGACAAACACAGAGTGCTTTCTTAAGAGCTAAACTGGCTGGGTGCTTGTTTGCTTGACTTACCATATTCTTCTGGGACTTGCAATCCAAAAAGCCCCAGGCTCTTCAATTTCTCCAAAGTTTCATCTGGGATTTTCCCTTCCTGGTCAATTTTTCGAGAGTCCACTGCCAAGAGGAAAATTTTGATTAAACAAACATAAGCTGTTTCTACAAATATAAGTAAACAGAACAATGTTTATATATTAGTAATATATAATCCCAGAGGAGAAACTTTTTCAAAACTAGAAATTCTGTAGTCATGGTCATATGGCCTGTGTTCAATTTTATGTAATGAGCCCAGGAAATTTTTTATTTTTATACATTTGAGACAGGGTCGCACTCTGATATCCAGGCTAGAGTACAATGACACAGTCATAGCTCATGTAGCCTCAATCTTCCAGGTTCAAGCAATCCTTCTGCCTCGGCCTCATGAGAAGCTGGAACTACAGGTACATACCACCACACCCAGCTATTTTTTTTTTTTTGAGACAGAGTTTCGCTTTTGTTGTCCAGGCTGGAGTGCAGTGGCACGATCTTGGCTCACTACAACTTCCGCCTTGGGGGTTCAAGTGATTCTCCTGCCTCAGCCTCCCCAGTAGCTAAGATTACAGGCATGCACCACCACACTTAGCTATTTTTGTATTTTTAGTAGAGATGGGGTTTCTCCATTGTTGGTCAAGCTGGTCTCGAACTCCCGACCTCAGGTAATCCACCCATCTCGACATCCCAAAGTGCTGGGATTACAGGCATGAGCCACTGTGCCCGGCCCAATGTGTTTTAATTAAATGGCAATAGGGATGACCCCTAAAGCAAAATATTATGAGTGGAAACCAATTCTCCCTCAAGAAAACTTCCCCAGCCGGGCGCAGTGGCTCACACCTGTAATCCCAGCACTTTGGGAGGCCGAGGCGGGTGGATCACCTAAGGGTTGGGAATTCGAGACCAGCCTGACCAACCTGGAGAAACCCCGTTTCTTAAGGAAAACTTCCCCTAGGTATGCCACTTCTAATATAAATATCAACCGAATTGCGCTTACAATGGAAATTGGCAATGGGTAAAGAAAACCATACATACCCTCTTCAGTGAAGAATTTTTCCACAGGTCGCAAGAACTGATTGATTTCATTAAGTTCATCTTGGGAAACTTCTGGAAATGGGAAAACTTCTTTCTAAAAATAGTAAATATTTTCTAAAAATTATATTTTAGCACGCTCCCATAATGGAAATATCAGTTAAAAGGGAAAGAAAAATATGTGCTCTACTCTACTCTGGCCAGCAGGACAGGATGCACTGAAGGAACTGGAAAGCAAATCTCACAAGGTTCCTGAGATACAGGAACTGTGTGCAGGCTCCACCCACCACATCCATCTTCCTCCCCTGTTCAAACAGGTTCTTCCTGATTTTGCTCAGCTTTCCTTTTCAGTACAAGAGATGATAACGGTCCCCTGAAACAAGGAGCCCAAGACTAACATTTAGAAGCCTGGGGGTCTGAACAAAACAATGGTAGGTTAATGTGTTCCGAAGCTGCCCTCATTACTGCTTTTGCAGAAGTATAGCGGTGAAGTCACAACTACACAGAGACCTTTCAACCTACAGATTGTGTCTGTACATTTCTAAGCCTTGTTTGCAGAATAAACAGGGCATTTAGCAAACTACTGGAAAAAAAAAAAGGAATCTGGAGTTCAATCTCAACTGGAGAAATGTTAGGCATCAGGATACTGATTATTGGAGAGAGATCCAAGATGGCTGATCACTAGCAGCTCGGGATTGTAGCTCCCAGTGAAAGCGCAAAGAACGAGAGGATGCCACACCTTCACATGAATTCTTGTTGCTCACGCACCAGGAGATTCCCAGCGGAGGAGCCCCACAGGTCGCCAGCGCGACTCTTGTGACCGGCGAGGTGGTTTTGCCGGCGCCTTGGAGCATCGGTTCTTGGTGCAGTCAGAAAAGCACCATCAATCTTAACACCGCTGATTTGGTCGGCGCAGTGGGTTGCTCAGATTTCAGCGCTGAGAATCAGTAAGTTGGACATCCACTCAGAAACCTAATTACAAAGACGGTAAGTACAAAGACCACAGATGGATAAATTTATAACGAAGGGAAGAAAACAGCCAAAAAAGGCTGAGAATACCCAAGATCAGAACGCCTCTCCCTCAGCAGGGGATCACAGTTCCTCATCAGCGACGGAACAGGGCTTGATGGAGAACGAGTGTGTTCCAATTACAGAAGCAGGCTTCAAAATGTGGATAATGAGAAACTTCTGTGAATTAAAAGAACTTGCTTTAACCCAATCCAAAGAAACTAAGAACTTTGAAAAAAGGTTTGACGAAATGTTAACAAGAATACACAATTTAGAGAGGAATATAAGTGAATTGATGGAGCTGAAAAACACAATACGAGAACTACGTGAAGTATGCACAAGTTTTAACAGCCGACTTGATCAAGCAGAAGAAAGGATATCAGAGGTCGAAGACCAACTCAATGAAATAAAACAAGAAGACAAGATTAGAGAAAAAAGGATAAAAAGGAACGAGCAAAGTCTCCAAGAAATATGGGACTATGTGAAAAGACCTAATCTACGCTTGATAGGCGTACCTGAATGTGACGAAGAGAATGAATCCAAGCTAGAAAATACGCTTCAGGATATTATTCAGGAAAATTTTCCCAACTTAGTAAGGCAGGATAATATTCAACTCCATGTAATACAGAGAACACCACAGAGATATTCCTCAAGAAGAGCAACTCCAAGGCACATAATCGTCAGATTCACCAGGGTTGAAATGAAGGAGAAAATACTAAGGGCAGCCAGAGAGAAAGGTCAGGTTACCCACAAAGGGAAGCCTATCGGACTTACAGCAGATCTCTCAGCAGAAACCCTACAAGCCAGAAGAGAGTGGGGACCAATATTCAACATACTTAAAGAAAAGAACTTTCAACCCAGAATTTCACATCCAGCCAAACTAAGCTTCACAAGTGAAGGAAAAATAAAGTATTTTGTGAATAAGCAAGCACTCAGAGATTTCATCACCACCAGGCCTGCTTTACAAGAGCTTCTGAAAGAATCACTACACATAGAAAGGAACAAACAGTATCAGCCTTTCTAAAAAAATACCAAAAAGAGCATCAATATAATGAAGAATTTACATCAACTAAGGGGCAAAATAGCCAGCTAATATTAAATGGCAGTATTAAACTCACATATATTATTATTAATTCTAAATTTAAATTGACTAAATCCCCCAATCCAAAGACAGCCAGGCAATTTGAATAAAAAACTAAAACCCATCAGTATGCTGCATCCAGACCCATCTCACATTCAAGGATACACAAAGACTCAAAACAAGGGATGGAGAAAGATTTACCAACCAAACAGAGAGCTAAAATAAATAAATAAAAACCAGAAGTTACAATTAAGCAACAAAGATCAAAAGAAGCAAAGAAGGACATTATATAATGATAAAAGGATCAATGCAACAACAAGAAGAGCTAAAGATCCTAAATATATACGCACCCAATACAGGAATACGCAGACATACAAGACTTATAAAGAGACTTAGACTCCCACATAATAATAGTGGGAGACTTCAACATTAATATTAGACAGATCAATGAGACAGAAAATTAACAACGATATCCAGGACTTGAACTCAGATCTGGAACAAGTAACTGTAATTAACATTTATAGAACTCTCCACTTTAAATAAACAAAATATACATTCTTATCAGTATCACATCCTATCAACTTAGAAGTTCAAACGAAATGTTGGTTGGCTCCTTGTTTATTATTCTCTTCCCTCATTTTCTTTCACATCTCCATTATTAAGGACAATTATAGGCATACCCATATTTAGATTGCATTCTAGCCCAGGCAATAAAGCAATACCCACATCCTCTCTCCCTCTTCCTCTTTCTTCCTCTTCTTTATTCTTTTTCTTAAAAAAAAAAAAAAAAAAAAAAAAAAAAAAACAAGCAGTTGAGCTCTGTAGGCTGTATCAAATCATAATACACCATTAAAAAATCTTGGCATTAAAAATCTGTATCTTAGGCCGGGCGCGGTGGCTCAAGCTTGTAATCCCAGCACTTTGGGAGGCCGAAGCGGGTGGATCCTGGTCAACAATCAGGTGAAACCCCGTCTCTACTAAAAATACAAAAAATCAGCTGGGCATGGTGGCGCGTGCCTGTAATCCCAGCTACTCAGGAGGCTGAGGCAGGAGAATTGCCTGAACCCAGGAGGCGGAGGTTGCGGTGAGCCAAGATCGCGCCATTGCACTCCAGCCTGGGTAACAAGAACGAAACTCCGTCTCAAAAAAAAAAAATCTGTATCTTAAAATATTGGATTATTTTTCCATATGTACCTTTGCAGCTCTAAAAGGATTTCAAGAATCACCTAGCATCTAATACAAGGTCTATAACTTTCTTTTTTTTCACCACGTTGACCAGGATGGTCTCGATCTCTTGACCTCGTGATCCATCCGCCTCGGCCTCCCAAAGTGCTGGGATTACAGGCTTGAGCCACCGCGCCCGGCGTCTATAACTTCTTCTACCTGCAACTAACATCAGTAATCTTAATAAAAAAAAAAAAAAGCCGGGCGCGGTGGCTCAAGCCTGTAATCCCAGCGCTTTGGGAGGCCGAGGCGGGTGGATCACGAGGTCAAGAGATCGAGACCATCCAGGTCAACATGGTGAAACCCCGTCTCTACTAAAATACAAAAAATTAGCTGGGCATGGTGGCGCGTGCCTGTAATCCCAGCTACTCAGGAGGCTGAGGCAGGAGAATTGCCTGAACCCAGGAGGCGGAGGTTGCGGTGAGCCGAGATCGCGCCATTGCACTCCAGCCTGGGTAACAAGAGCGAAACTCCGTCTCAAAAAAAAAAAAAAAAAAAAAAAAGGATACTGATTATATTTAAAGCCAGGACACAAAATAAGGTCACCCAGGAGATGGCTGTAGATGAAATGAGACCAAGCCTTAGTAAATTCCAGCTGGGCTGGTTGGAAACACTGGTCATTGTTTAGCCGTCAAGGAGCTAAAAAAGAACCAGCAATGGGCACTGAGAAGTACCAGCCAGTGAAGTATTTAGAACATTCAGAGAATGGTGAGAATTGTGATTCAGAACCCAGAGAAGAAAGTGTGTCAACAGGGTCTAAGGATGAACTATGACAGATGCCAAGGAGGGGTCGAGTAGGGTGCGGTCTGAGAACAGATCACACAATCTGACAACATGGAAGTCACTACTGACTTTCATGGGCATTGGGGACAAAAGCCTGAATGGTAAGGGCTCAAGATCCTGTAGAAGGAACACTGAGCAATGCAGAGAAAGGAAAGAATTACCCCTGAGTCAGTGAGAAGGCCTGAGGTCTAATGAGAGGTTGGTTTTGCCAGGAGCAGGCAGTTCATAGTAACAGAATGTAGACAATATAGGCACATATGCAGGGGGAGGGAGTAACTGTGCCTGTGGAAATTCTCATCTGACTGCATAGATGTTCCCAGTGGATTAGGAAGCAAAGCTAACAGCTGAGAGTAGGGCAGTGCCAGAGGTTTAAAGATGAAAACAGATCTAAGGGATTTGTGTTCTTTCTTCACCATGCTGCTGGGAGGCAGGAGGTCCCAGAAGAGAGGACCACAGCCTGGGTAAAAGGGTTTTCCATATGTTAAAGACATAGCTCTGAAGTTTCTTTCTTTCTTTCTTTCTTTCTTTTTTTTTTTTTTGAGGAGTTTCGATTTTGTTGCCAAGGCTGGATTGCAATGGCGCAATCTCGGCTCACTGCCACCTCCGCCTCCCGGGTTCAAGCGATTCTCCCGCCTCAGCCTCCCAAGTAGCTGCATCTACAGGCATGTGCCACCACGCCCAGCTAATTTTGTATTTTTAGTAGAGAAGGGGTTTCTCCATGTTGATCAGGCTGGTCTCGAACTCCTGACCTCAGGTGATCTGCCTGCCTCAGCCTCCCAAAGTGTTGGGATTACAGGTGTGAGCCATCGCACCTGGCTAGCTCTGCACTTTCTAGAGGGGCAAACTGCTTTTAGTCTGAGTCTTAACTTCTGTGTCTGCAAAGTTGCTTGCTATAATGGAGTCAGCCTGACAACCTCAGAGAAATGTTCTAAAGAGAAGCCAGGGAATAACTCCCGATAAAGGATTAGCCAACATTCAGCCAGGCTCAAAGTAGGACACCTCTAAGAAATAGCAGTTATACGGTTGCTTTCCTTAGAAGATAAAATAAAATACAAAGGAAAGAGCAAGTAATGTGTTTACTCCTACTTTGTAGCTGAATGCACTGAAGCACAAGGAATTGAAGCCATCAGCTCCAAGGTCACAAGACTAGTAAGTGTTTGAAGCCAGCTTTCTCTTCTACTGCACAGTACTCTACAGTTTAAAACGACTCTCCATGCACCATTTATCTCACTGGGGCTCTATAACACATCCATGAAGGAGACACACTATCTTCATTTTAAGGCTGAAAAGAACTGAGTCTTGGCCAGGCGCGGGTGGGCTCATGCCTATAATCCCAGCACTCTGAGAGGCCAAGGCGGGCGGATCACCTGAGGTCAGGAGTTTGAGACCAGCTTGGCCAACACGGTGAAACCCCGTATCTACTAAAAAAAAAAAAAAAAAAAAAAAAAAAAAAAAAAAAAAACCGGGCATGGTGGTGGGCGCCTGTAATCCTAGCTACGCGGGAGGCTGTGGCAGGAGAATCGCTTGAACCCCAGAGGCAGAGGTTGCAGTGAGCACTCCGGTTTGAGACAGAGCAAGACTGTCTCAAAAAAAAAAAAAAAAAAGAAACAAAAGAACTGAATTTTTTTTTTTTATTCAACGAGCCGAGACTAAATCCAAGTCTTCCAATTCTAAGAGGACAATGAGTAGTTTTATAACCAAACTGTTACTATTGGCTGGATTGTGCGACTCGTGGAAAGCACCTGGGAGCCAGATTTCTGAGGAACCTCAATGGCAGGGTGAGGTACTAGGGCTCAACTGGGGAAGGAAGCCCTGGGGCGCTGGAAGGTGACGGAGGAGGGACATGATCTAAACTGTTTAGGAATCAGAGAGGAAGCCCTGCACATTTCGAAACCAGATCAGCTGAGCTGAAGGCTGCTTTATTAATTACCTAGCCTAGAGTTTTAAATTCTCCTGACAAAATTTAGCTAAAACACTTCACCACCACATTTCCCAGGGTCCCCAGTCTTGGAAATATCCCACCCTTTATCTGGGAAGGTTCTCCTGGAATCCGGAGTGTTAACACGCCTCGCCTGCAGGGTGTATTTCTCTGGTAGGTTTGGGGAATCTGAAAAAGCTCAACACCAGCCTTGCAGCCGAGGGCCAAAAGCGGGAGCCAGACAGCAAGGGTTCGCCCAGAGCTCAAGTTACCTTCTCGATTTTGCCCAGGAAAAGGTGTTTGGCGAAAGCTCGTATAGGCGGGCTGGTGTGCAGTGGCCGCCGGCTCGCGGTAAAGACCACCAGAGATCGGCAAGCACGAGCCGCAGCCGCAGTGCGCAGGAAGAGCCCGCAGCCGCTCATGCTGCCGGCTATTCTTCGTCCTCAGCTTAGCGCCTCGGGGACACACACGGTCCGCAACGCCTGATGACGTTACCGGCCCGCGACGACGTGACGTACTCACTGCGCCGGCGCAGTTTCCCGGAGCAGGGGATGGAAAGGCCAGAAGGATCCTACGGCTGACACCATTCGCGTCCAAGGCCTTAGTCACGTGCACCTGGCCTGCGCCGCCTGATGACGTCACGCGCCAAAGCTTCCCGCCGGTCCCACTGCGCTTGCGCGGCCAAAGGAACTCCGCGGAGTGGAGGGGCGGGGCCGCGGGCATCTTGCCGGGCTCCGGCAGTCCTGACGCCGCTGAAGCATCTTTTGTTTTTTTCTTTTTCTTTTTTTTAATCTGTATTTATTTTTAATTTATTTTTACTTTTTAAGACGGGATCTCACCATGTTGGTCAGGCTGATCTTGAACTCCCGATCTCAGGTGATCCGCCCGTCTTGGCCTCCAAAGTGCTTGGATTACAGGCGTGAGCCACCACGCCCGGCCTATTTTTTATTTTTTTAACCTTCCCCTAACATAGATCATAGGAAACAAGAAAGATTTGTTTTTCACATACCAATGGTTCTTTCCATAAATGCCAGCCCTGGGAAGCTTCCTTGTGTACAGAAACCTAAAGGCCGGCCCAGCTGCCTCCACCACTTGCTTCTGTATTGTTATTTGCGTCCGCGAGGCCGTGGTAAAACTAGAGAAAAGCAAGAGAACGGGGGAAATGTGGGGTACTGGGGTCTCTACAGGGGCACAGTAAGGGTAAGGTTACATTTTTTTCTCTCTCTTTTTGAGACGGATTCTTGCTCTGTTGCCAGGCTGGAGTTCAGTGGCGCCATCTCGGGTCACTGCCACCGCCGCCTCCCGGGTTCAAGCAATTCCCCTGCCTTACTACAGGCGTGCGCCACCACGCCCTGCTGATTTTTTTGTATTTTAGTAGAAACGGGGTTTCACTATGGTGGCCAGGATGGTCTTGATCTCCTGACCTTGTGATCCACCCAGCACCTCCTAAAGTGCTGGGATTACAGGCGTGAGCCACCACGCCGGACCGAGGTTCCATTTTTAACTGGTTGGTGGATTCCTGAGATACTGTTTTGTTCCTAGCTCACATGTATGCTACGTATATTTTTTGGAACAAAAAAATAAAATTGGCCGGGCACGGTGGCTCAAGCCTGTAATCCCAGCACTTTGGGAGGCCGAGGCGGGTGGATCACGAGGTCGAGAGTTCGAGACCATCCTGGTCGACATGGTGAAACCCCGTCTCTACTAAAAGTACAAAAAATCAGCTGGGCATGGTGGCGTGTGCCTGTAATCCCAGCTACTCGGGAGGCTGAGGCAGGAGAATTGCCTGAACCCAGGAGGCGGAGGTTGCGGTGAGCCGAGATGGTGCCATTGCACTCCAGCCTGGGTAACAAGAGCAAAACTCCGTCTCAAAAAAATAAATAAATAAATAAAATTGGTGTTCAACCACAGAGCGGTCTGGATAAAACTGAGTCACCTCTGTCTTAGGAAACACTAACTTAAGAGGTGGGCGGAGGAAGAGAAGCTACAGAGGGAGTTGAGAAGAGATGGGAACTATTGGATGGGATGGGACAGGCCTGACTGTAACCACCCAAGGGGTTCACCTTGCCCGCTGCCTAGACAGCTGATTTACCAAGACAGGGGAATTGCAATGGAGAAAGTAATTCACGCAAAGCCAGCTGTGCTGGAGAGGGAGTTTTGTTACCCAAATCAGTCTTCCCCAAAACAGAGATCGGAATTTTTCAGGATAGTTTGGCCAGTGGGAGCTTGGGAAGTGGGAAGTGCTGATTGCTCGGTTTGGAGATGGAATCATAGGGGGTCGAAATGAGTTTTTCTTGCTGTGTTGTGTTCCTGGATGGGATTACAGAACTGGCTGAGCTAGATCACCAGTCTGGGTGTTGTTAGGTTTAACAGCATGTGATGTTATTCCCAGGAGCAATTTGGGGGAGGTTCAAACTCTTGGAACCAAAGGCTGCATGGCCCCTAAACTGTAACTTTTAATCTTATAGCTAATCTGTAGGTCCTCCAAAGGCCGACTGGTCTCAGGCAAGAAGAGATTGTTCTTTTGTTTTGTTTTTCTTTTTTTGTTATTGTTGTTCTTTTTGTTTTGTTTTTGTTTTTGTTTTTTGTTTCAAAGTTAAACTATAAACTCATTCCTTCCCAAGGTTAGTTCAGCCTATGCACAGGAATGAACAAGGACAGCTTAGAGGTTAGAAGCAAGTTGGAGTTGGTTAAGTCAGATATCTTTCATTGTCTCAGTTACAATTTTGCAGTGGCAGTTTCAAGGCCAGGCTATAGGGGCCCACATAGCAGGCATGCCCAGCACTTCACAGCCTAGTGGTGCTCTGAACGTGACAGTGGGCCCCCTACAGATCTTCAGCCAGCTCGGAGAAGAATGCTGCTCTGCTTTTTCACTCAGACCTGTAATCTGGCTCAGCCAGTTCTACAATCCCACCCAGGAACAGAAGACAGCAAGAAAAACTCACTTCGACCCCCTGTGATTCCATCTCCAACACGTCCAATCAGCACTCCCCACTTGCCAAGACCTACTTGCCAAATTATCCTTGAAAACTCCGATCCTTGTTTTTGGAGAGACTTGTTCCTTGACTGTAACATTGACCACAGCGTTGATAAATGCCTCTGGCTTCACTTGTATGAACTCCTTGAGAACAGAACGAAATCCCTTTCATCTCAGCGAGCTAAGCTCAGCCCCAAAAAAGATTGAATTACCGCTGGGTGCGGCGGTGGCTCATGCCTGCAATCCTGCACTTTGGGAGGCCAAGGTGGGTGGATTCACTATATTGGTCAGGTTAAGAGTTCAAGACCAGCCTGACCAATATAGTGAAACCCCGAATCTACTAAAAATACAAAAAATTAGCTGGGCGTGGTGGTGCATGTCTGTAATCCCAGCTACTCGGGAGGCTGAGGCAGGAGAATCCCTTGAACCTGGGAGGCAGAGGTTACATGCGGTGAACCAAGATTGCACCATTGCACTCCAGCCTCGGCAACAAAAGTGAAACTCCGTCTCAAAAAAAAGAGAGATTGAATTGCTAATACAACATCAAGAAAAAAGAGCTCAAAACTCTACAAGGCGTAGAGTCTAAACTGCAAAATATTTGCAGGCATCTTTTCAGATTATTTTATCTTGTCTAAGGTCTCTCACCTGGTTTCTTCATCAGTGGTTGATATTTAGTTGTTTAGCATTCAGTTTCACAAGAAGGTATTTGGAAACAACTGTCTTTGTAAATTAGCCCTATGGGTAAAACAAAGAAAAATATACATATATTGCAAAAACTGAATTTTGAACTGCTGTATATTTTTGTCAAAACAAATGTGGTCACATAAGTTAAGTAGTTTGATAATGTGTCAGTCTTCTTTAGTGTACACAGGTCTCCCTAAATCAACCAAATGAGAAATCCAGTGACACATATTTTACAAAATAAAAATTAGAAACATTTTTGCTTTGCTTTTTTTTTTGGGGGGGGGGATGGAGTTTCGCTCTTGTTACCCAGGCTGGAGTGCAATGGTGCGATCTCGGCTCACCGCAACCTCCACCTCCTGGGTTCGGGCAATTCTCCTGCCTCAGCCTCCTGAGTAACTGGGATTACAGGCACGCGCCACAATGCCCAGCTAATTTTTTGTATTTTTAGTAGAGATGGGGTTTCACCATGTTGACCAGGATGGTCTCGATCTCTTGACCTTGTGATCCACCCGCCTCGGCCTCCCAAAGTGCTGGGATTACAGGCTTGAGCCACCGCGCCCGGCCTAGGCTTTGCTTTTTATACACAAGAAAGAAAAAAAAAAGAAAATTAGAAACTTTTTTTTTTTTTTTTTGAGACGGAGTTTCGCTCTTGTTGCCCAGGCTGGAGTGCAATGGCGCGATCTCGGCTCACCGCAACCTCCACCTCCTGGCTTCAGGCAATTCTCCTGCCTCAGCCTCCTGAGTAGCTGGGATTACAGGCACGCACCACCATGCCCAGCTAACTTTTTGTATTTTTAGTAGAGACGGGGTTTCACCATGTTGACCAGGATGGTCTCGATCTCTTGACCTCGTGATCCACCCGCCTCGGTCTCCCAAAGTGCTGGGATTACAGGCTTGAGCCACCGCGCCTGACGAAAATTAGAAACATTTTAAGGCATTATTTCTAATTACTCCAACAAAGCATAGCAGGAGTTTTGGTTTCACTACTATATCAGTTTCTAAATTTAGTTTCCTCATCTGTAAATATGAATATGAAACCCTTTATCTCACAGGACTTTGAAGAGGTTTAAATAAAATAATCCACATGAAAGCACTTAGCACAGCAAATGATTTTTTCTGCAATACTATAAAAATGAAAATGGTTACTCTTTGGTCTTTTTCTTTCTTTCTTTCAGACGGAGTCTTGCGCTGTCGCCCAGGCTGGAGTGCAGTGTCACAATCTCGGCTCACTGCAACCTCCACCTCCCGGTTCAAGCAATTCTGCTGCTGAGCCTCCCGAGTACCTGGGACTACAGGCACGGGCCACCATGCTCTACTAATTTTTTGTATTTTTAGTAGAGACAAGATTTCACCTGGCCGGGCGCGGTGGCTCAAACCTGTAATCCCAGCACTTTGGGAGGCTGAGGCGGGTGGATCACGAGGTCAAAAGATCGAAACCATCCTGATCTACACGGTGAAATCCCGTCTCTACTAAAAATACAAAAAATTAGCTGGGCATGGTGGCGCATACCTGTAATCCCAGCTACTCAGGAGGCTGAGACAGGAGAATTGCCTGAACCCAGGAGGCGGAGGTTGCAGTGAGCCGAGATCGCGCCATTGCACTCCAGCCTGGGTAACAAGAGCGAAACTCCGTCTCAAAAAAAAAAAAAAAAAAAAAAGATTTCACCTTATTAGCCAGGATGGTCCCGAACTCCTGACCTCATGATCTACCCACCTCAGCCTCCAAAAGTGCTGGGATTATAGGTGTGAGCCACCGTGCCAGCCTTCTGATCCTTCCATCTTATAAAGTATTAGCCTCTGAAAAATATGATGTTGTTTAAACAGTTTCCCCTATTCAGTGTGTTAAAAACTTCAGCTGAATTAAATTTAAAGGAGTATAATTGGCCAGGTATGGTGGCTCATGCCTGTAATCCCAGCACTTTGTGAGGATGAGGTGGGCAGATCACTTAAG